TAGAATTCAGAGCATTTCAGCTGACTTCTAAGCTTTAGTGATACTAGCTGATTGGCAGAAAGGAATAGGAGATTGATTTTTTTCCCCTTGTTTTTTCAGAATGTAGATTTCACATTCAACACTGAGGCTGGAAGAGTGAAGGATATCACACACCAGTGTCTTATGTCCCAAAATGGATCACTAGTACATTTTGAGACAATACAGTATTATTCTCAGAGGCCAAATTCCTTCTAATTTATTTTCTTAATGGTGTGTGCCTAAAAGCTCTCTGTCTTTCAAGGTCTCAGAAATAAAATACAACCAGGATATCTTATGAAAGAGTTTTCCTATTCTGGACCAGAAAAATGTTTGCTGCTGTCCCAAACTCTGATCTGGTTCTTACTTCCAGCCTTCATTCCTCCATATATATTTATTATACTTATTCTGCACCCAGACATTTTTAGAATCTGAGATAAAAGACCCAGTCAGTGCCTTGAAAATACCTACAATTAAGTGAATGCAAGACAATTTGGTGAAGATCTTTGACAGAGGCCAGCCATGGAGACACATGGAATGGACACCCAAGGGCAGAGAGAGGGAAGAAGTCAGGGAGGACTTCTCAGAAGGGTGATGCTTGAGCTGAGGTTTGAAGTGAGGTGAAGCTGGAGGTACCAGGGATAGGAAAACTTGGGAGAGCTGCACCTATGAAGGCATGAAAGCCTAGGGGATTTCAGACCTTTGTGGAAGGTTCAATGTGCCTAGGACTCAGGATCTGAAGCAGAGAACAACAGAGAACAGTTAGGCAGAGATTATTTAGATCATGGCTTTCAGATAACCATCATGGACAGTTCAGCAGGGTCATCTGTGCAGCTCCTATGAGCTATTTTCCTTTCTTTAATTTTAAGGTTTTTTTCTTACCTCTAAAGCAATACATGTATATGGTAGGAAATGAAAAAATATAGATAAGCAAATTTAAGAGAATTATACCACCCACAATCCTGCTACAAACCTCTTTTAACAACTTATAAATAATTCCAGATTTTTATGTATGGTTTTTCTTTAATTGAAAAAAAAAAAACACTGTTAAACTCTACGTACTACTTTGTAACCTGCTTTTCTGTTCAGTCGGTATTTTAGAAATAGTTTTGCCATGTTAATGGATGTTCTTCTGCATTATTTGTAATATCTGAATGGTAGTATATCTTTAGTAATACCATAATGTGTTAAAACTGCATATATGAGTGTGAATATATTTGAATATTGGGCATTTCTATCATTTTTAGTATTTTGCAATCAGAAATAGTATGAAGGTGAACATTCTTATGCACACCCGTAATTACTTCCCTGAGTCCTTGTCAATAGCTTTATTAAATCTCAATCTTGAAATGACAGTTTTGAAATGTAAGATTAACACACCTGGAATAATTAGAAAGCAATGCAAAAAACCAAATATAACCATTTTCCCCTTAATCATCCTTTGTTGTTGCTACGCTCTAAGTGGTGACCCTCCTACACCTGGCCTTATAGTAGTCGATTACTTAAATCTACCATCTGAAAATGGAATGAAGATGAATGAAGCAGGGTTCAGTTCAGTTCAACAGACACTGGGGCTTCCACGTGCCAGGGAGGGGACGAGGGAACACACAGGGAGCATAGTCTGGGCAGGGAGGCATCATTACCTACAGTAGGTGATCCAAGAGAGGTATGGCTGAGACTCAGAGGGCACCCAGAAGAGGGATGCACAGCCCTCAATGTGGGTAGGATGTGGCAGGCAGGATGTGGTGGGAGTTGGTGAACTTCCTGGAGCAGATGCCCCTCATGGGATAACCACCAAGTTGAGTTGCTATGGTGAACAGTCAAGTAACTGATAAATAGGGGGCTGGGGGTGAGTGCTTAAGGCAAGTGATATCCAAGACACTTTCTATATTAGTTTGGGTTCCCCAGAGAAAGTTCACCCTTCCTTCCCCTTTTTGTTCTCTTCAGCTCCTCAAAGCATTGGATGATGCCAACCCGCCTTGATGAGGGTGACCATTACTCAGCCTATCAATTCAAATGCTAATCTCTTCCAGAAAGACCCTCATAGACACACCCAGAGATACTGTTGTTAAGGTTTGCTTGATTAACATTTGTTAAGTGGAGCACAGTGCTGTTTGGTGAGCCTCAGTTCAACAACGGAGAACTTGATATTGAAAAATTTGTGACTCACAGGTCCTGAAGGAGGTATACGGCCCTTAAGGGGCCACTTGGCGGGATCAGGCAGAGCACAGACAAAGATAGAGGCAGGATCTAAATATAGGCCTTTATTAAGGTTCCTAGGTTAGGGCCAGACTGGTCAATTCAAATAAAAAAAAACAGATTCTGGTAAGTCCCAGGAGGGTCTATGGAAAGAGCCTATAGGTAGAGGGGACGGAGGGGGCTTGTGGATCACAAGCGCTATTCAGGAGGTCATGTCAGGATCTTACATTTGCCTGTGACCCTGCAGCTGCTGTCTAGGGCATGCACACGTAGGAGGGGCTAGTGTCAGTTTAAGGTCCCTTAAGTCCCTTGGCCCAACAAAATGGATGCTGAGGCAGCATTACTGTGGTGACTGTGCAGCTTAGCTAAACCCTTGACAAATGTTTGACCAGCTATCTGGGGAGTCCCTCAGCCCAATCAAGTTGACACATAAAATTAATCATCAACTTCCCAATGCTGCAAATTTACACTTCTCTAAAATAATCAACTACTTCATAGACACTTTTACTTGCATCCTATTATGTCATCTTCATCATGTCGCTGCAAGAGAACACCTTCTATTCCTATTTGTACTGAAGTAACTGAGGTTCACACTGCTAATGGATGCAGGAGTTTTGATCCAAACCTAAATCTCTTCTAATCCAATCCCTTGATGGTATCACTACATAACTTGGCTGTATTTGAGCTGAATTCCATAGCAGGTGGTATTCTATGCTTTATGGGCTAAGCCTTCCTTTTTTGGCCTGCTCATCCTTTAGGTAGAGAAGGAATAAGCATTCATGGAGACCTTCCCATGTTCTAACTCTGTGTTAGGTGTTCTATGTAAATTATTTAGTCCTCATAACATCCCTGTGGGAGACACAAGGAAGTCAGCCTCACCTGACCAGGTTATGTAACACGGTTAAAGGCACACACAAAAAAGTAACGGAGCAGGAATTTTATCTGACATTAAAGACTGTGTGTACACTACCATGTGGCCAGGGCATTCATTTCCTCGCCAGACCTCCTCTGCGTGGGGTCAAAGTATCCAAGGTTAGAGGAATGGTCCATTAGTGTAGGCCATTCTGTTGTATGACTCCCACTTCAGCTACCTGCCAAACTGGCCCAGATTAGGAAGTTCTCGGGTTGCTTTCACTCCTGCCTGGCTTCTTAGATTCTCCATCACGGTATTTGTTCTATTGAGCATGTCTGTTAAATTTAGGACATGAGTGTCTATGGGCCTCAATGGACCTAGTTAAGAAAATGCTGTGGTCTAATATCCTGAGGACTAGCCTAAGCTGCTCCCTTTTTTTTCTGCTTAACTGTTAAATGACATTGATGAGATTTCTTGACAATGGTGAAGAGACTGATCAGGTGGTACAGGTGAGGAAAATAGAGGTGGGAGACATCACAGAGCCAGCAACCTAGCCCGACTGAGCTCCAGTTTTCTTGAACCACGTGGGCAAATGCCACTATTCTTCTGATTCACTTTTTATTCTTCATTTCCTTTTTAGCATATGGGTAGCTGCTTCAGGTCATGAAAAAAAATATATTCAGTGGAATGAAACACAGTAGATATTTACTAAGAAACTAAAAATGAAAGTTAGATGTAAACTGTTTTATTCCACTGAAATATTTGGCTGAACTCGTAAGAACGGTGATGAGATCATTCTTGGACACCTGCACTGAAATGAACCATGAGAAGAATATTTAGGAGAAATGAAGAGGATATCTGATCTGAGTGAATGAGCTTCTTAGGCCCAGGGAGTGGGATGAAATTGGCATGATCATTTTGGAGTATATGAGTCAAACAGAGAATTGGAATGGGGTTTTCAGGGAGGTTACATTAGGGGAGTAAAAGGCTGATAAACAACACTTGTATTTGTAGAAAAATAAGGGGAGTAAATCAACAAATTCTAAAGTGAAGAGAAACTTGATTCAAGCAAGGTAGGAAAAACCCTGCAATCCTCACTAGTCTTTGTAAATAAAAGGAAAACAAGTAAAAATAAGATACCAGAAGTCAGTTGGATTTTACGGGAGTATAAAGTTAATCTTAAGGAAGCAAAGCCCATTTCATTGATGTAGGAAACTCCCAGCTGAGTGCTAACAATGGACATCTGATCTCCCTGAGGCTGTACGTGGGTGATTCTTGCTCTTGGCTTGTACCTTGCACCTGGTGAGAAAACCTCTGAGTTCCAGAGGATGGGCCAAGGTTAGATATTGGAGCTGGTCCTTTAATTTATTGTGCTGATTCTTCTTAGGGAAGAACAAAGATTGTGCGAATATGTGTTAGAATTTTAGCTGTGAGACATGCACACTAAATATTAAAATGACTCCAACAATTTGAGTCAACTCGAAAACTCCCAGTCTCTTAGGATAAAAATAAATATAATCCTGTTTAGAAAGTCCTGGTGTGATCATAATGTAGGATTGGTTCCTTTCATGAGGCCTATTAATGAAAAATTACAAAATCCAAAGTCAATTAAGTAGTAAGATATTATAACAAATTCTTATTTCATTAACGTTTCAAAGTATGAATAATCACTTTGCATTCAAGACAAGAAATGGACATTTTCCGCTGGCTACCGAAAAACAATGTAAACAATTCCGGTCATGGTAGCAGCTCACTGCGGGCTGACCTAACTCTGAAAATAATTTATTGTTTCCAGGTGACTGTTAAACACTGTGGGGTTATTCATTAGGTTAGGCTTGATGAGAAACAGATACCAATAGAGTTGGGGATTCAAAAATGTACTATATTTCTTCTCACAATCAGAGAAAATTTACCATGGATTTTCTCTTTATAGGCTCATGCCAAAATCTGGCATCTCTACAATACTTCTTTCCGCCCAACTCAGGGAGGCCAGGTATCCATTGCCCTAAGCTCCCACTGGATCAATCCTCGAAGAATGACCGACCATAGCATCAAAGAATGTCAAAAATCTCTTGACTTTGTACTAGGCTGGTTTGCCAAGCCCATATTTATTGATGGTGACTATCCTGAGAGCATGAAGAATAACCTGTCATCTCTTCTGCCTGTTTTTACTGAATCTGAGAAAAAATTCATCAAGGGAACAGCTGACTTTTTTGCTCTTTCTTTTGGACCAACTTTGAGTTTTCAACTCTTGGACCCTCACATGAAGTTCCACCAATTAGAATCTCCCAGCCTGAGGCACCTCCTTTCTTGGATTGACCTTGAATATAACCACCCTCAAATATTTATTGTGGAAAATGGCTGGTTTGTCTCAGGGACCACCAAGAGAGATGATGCCAAATATATGTATTACCTCAAAAAATTCATAATGGAAACCTTAAAAGGTAGGACTGGGGGTAAAATTCTAATTTCCTGCCAAAATCCACAGGAAAAACAATCCTTCAGATGATCTGTAATAAACTACATGAATTTATAGTTTTTATAGTTTTTAATCATAATGCAGAAAATCATTTTGGCAATGGCAGGAATGCACTTATGTAACATCTTTCTTATTTGGGGCCTTAAATGCATTTTTAAAACTCATTTTGTCAATGAGGAACTTAAATGCATTTTTAAAACTCATTTGTCAATGAGAAACTGGGTTATAATGTGTGAAGTAACCAGATTTTCAGTTACTACTCTAGATTTTTATTTTTTACTTTTTAAAAAGATGTTATTTATTTATTCATGAGAGACACAGAGAGACAGAGACATCGGCAGAGAGAGAAGCAGGCTCCCTGCAGGGAGCCCCATGGGACTCAATCCCAGGGCCCCAGGATCATGACCCAAGCCAAAGGCAGATGCTCAACCACTGAGACACCCAGGCACCCCACTACTCTAGATTTTCAGATGGTATTAAGGATTAAGTAAATCCCCTGATATCTAGATCTCTGTGTATATTTTTGGGTTCTTACTATTTGCACTGAATAAAATAATTTTTAAAGAAAAAGGAATGTCAACACTTTCTGAAGAAAACATTCCAGTGGTTGTGCTTTGAAAGGTTTTATTCATTTATTGCAGCAGACACAATGCTAGAATAGAAGATGAAGTAAGACATCTTCTCTGGCCCAAAGACCACCTAACAGAAATAAAAATATTTCAAGCAAAAAACATATTGGAGGCCATCCTATTTGTGAAGACACTCATTTCTGGAATTATCCAGGTGTGGCAGCTTTTCATTAGTAAAAAAGGTCATAGGTTTACCAAACACTAAGCATTATATGTAACTTATTTCCACATATAGTAAACCCCTCAAATGCTCTTGAATTGTGAGTGCCCAGCTAAGGGTCATGTTGTTTTCGTCCTTTCTTCTCTTTGCAGCCATCAGGCTGGATGGGGTGGACGTCATTGGATACACAGCGTGGTCCCTTATGGATGGCTTTGAGTGGCACAGAGGCTACAGCATCAGACGTGGACTCTTCTACGTGGACTTTCTAAGCCAGGATAAGAAACTGTTGCCAAAGTCTTCAGCCTTGTTCTACCAAAAGCTGATAGAGAAAAATGGCTTCCCTCCTTTACCTGAAAATCAGCCCCTAGAAGGGACATTTCCCTGTGACTTTGCTTGGGGAATTGTTGACAACTACATTCAAGTAAGTCAGCTGACAAAACCAATGAGCAGTCTCACCAAGCCCTATCACTAGTAAGTAGTGCTTCCTTCTTAGGTTATCATGGCACATTGTCCATTCTTCAGGCCAAAGGTGGATCCTTAATGAGCATAGTAAGGGCACAGCTTGGAATATTGCACCCTTCTTTCCAAAAGCCTTCCTAGCTTTATCTTGCTTTATCTTTATCTTGCTTTAAGCTTTATCTTAAATCAGCCCCAAAGGAAGAACAAATTTAAAATATATGACTACTTAAGATCTGAAAAAATAATAAAAAAGATAAAATACTCCCTTTTAACACAGTGGTTTTCACAGTGCTTTTTAAAAGCAGTTGGGTTCTTCCATAAACAAGATGTAACACAGTACCTCAGGTCTCAGTGGAGCCGCTGAGCTTGAGGCAGGAACATCAGGACATCTCTGTCCCCTCCGGAGGCAATAAAAACCCTTGCTCCAATGATTCATTGCTCAAAATTTCATTTCTGAAACTGGTCATTGAAGTGGTAAGGAAGTTCTTTCAAATGATCCAAATGGTCAGCCAATATTTATTGAGCACTTACTATTTAATTAATCAATATTATTTTTAACTTTCCAATCCTAAAGGGTTTCCTAGAGTTTGATGGAATATTTTAGTAGGCATTTATTGGATGTTTAGCATACAAAGCCCTATGTTAACTGCCGGGGGAGTTATGCTTCGTCGAGGGGAGTGCACACTGAGATGAGTATGGTTGACCCCTGCTTTCAAAAAGGCCTGTTGAGGGAAAATGCTGGATACACAAATAATATAATGGAGTGCACAGAGCAGGGTGCTAAGTGAGCAGGGTGGTGGTAGGGTGTTGCTGACCAATATGAATGTAGAGATCAAGACAGAGGCAGAGTTCGGTACCCATGCACAAGCAATGGTATTTAGCATGTTGGGTGCTTCTAGCCAATTCATTGCTTCAGTAGGAGAGGAAAAATAACTTTCCTTCTACCCTTCTGAGTTCTTAGCTGAGATCCCCTATAATTAGAGACAGGTTAACAAGAGGAAAGCAGGAGAACATGGGTGGCCCAGTGGTTGAGTGTCTGCCTTCGGCTCAGAGCTCAAGTCGTGATCCTAGGGGTCCTGGGATTGAGTCCTGAATCAGAATCTCTTCAGGGAGCTTGGCTTCTACCTCCGCCTATGTCTCTGTCTCTGTCTCTCTCTCTCTGTATCTCTCATAAATAAATAAATAAATAAATAAATAAATAAATAAATAAATAAAACCTTTAAAAATAAAAAAGAAAAGCAAACAGAAGTTTATTAATATGTGTAGCTTACATATACATGGGAGATACTCAGAGAAAAATGCATAAATACTTGAGGTGATTTAGGATTCGGGCTTACATACCATCTTAATAGAAAAGGCTGGGGTGGGATATGGGTCTCTTAGGGAAGAAGAAACAATTTTCAGGAAAGATGAATGGGCCCTTAGAAGAATAGATGGAAACCACAATAGTCTGTGACACAGTCCATCTGTGTGTTGTGGTGACCTCTGGTCTCCTTTTCTGTGACAAGACTCCACCTTCCCTGGGTAAGGAAACTCCTGGGAGGGGACTGATGACAACTGAGTTCCTTTCGGAGGATCTGTCTTCAGGCAGGTAAGGGGAGCTCAGAGAAAGCCTTTCCCTGCATTTGCTATAATTTTTGAGCCCTGCAACTCACAATAATCAGTATAGCAGAGGGGCATAATTTGGGATGGTAGGCCCTGAGTTCCCACAGTCACATTTTGGGGTGGCATATTCTGTTACCCTTCAGTTCCAAAGAAGTATTTAGAAGGATGCTCAGACCTGAGGAAAGATCTTTTAGTTGAAATGGGTTGCTGTTTTCTTGTAAGTATCAAAGGAAATTAATCAACACTATCCTGAATACATTTTTTTGCTGAGGTGTATAATTCTTAGGTCTTTCGCAGACCACAGTGAGTTTAAAGGGCAGTCTCAGATTCATATCCCTTCTTATATTTAAAAGGTGACTGCGAGACACAGATAGCAAGGATATCTGAGTGCAGGAACAATACTTGCAGCTCTGCCCTGTTGGTTTTGGGGGTTTCTTCCCTTCTCTTCTTTCCTTCCCCCTGAGTCTCTGTTCCTAGAACTTCCCTTTCTTAATTTCTCTCCTGTGAGATCTACAGTGGGGCTCAAATAGGCTGCTGGTGAGGAGGAAGGGGACAAGGGGACAAAGGGAGGGTGATGGGCTCCCCAGCCCTCCTTCCTCCCCTGCTGAGGGTAGCTTGGTCCCTGGTCTGTGTTCTCTCTCATGACCTTCTGCCCGGCCCCACTCCCTGCCCGGCCCTGTCCCCCTTGTCCCTGATGACTCGTGCTATGCCCTGACATCTGATAGCAGCCCATGCCCAGGCAGGTAATTCCCAGTTCAGTTTTACATGCAGTAAAGTTTCCGACAGCATCTCTGTGCAGACAGTGTGAACTCGGGGAGTTGCAAGACACTGCAGGGAGCCCCTTCCTTCCTGCTCTGTTCCTCATCCCTGGACTGTGTTTGTCTTGGGAGCTGGTAAGTAGTGAGCAAGTTTTAAGAGTACAACCTATTTCCTTGAGAGATCAGAGAAACTCTGGTCTGATGCAATAAGTCTGGCAGTGAAGAGGAAGGGAGATGGGGAGAGGATTGCTTTTTCTACTCCTTAAGGGCACTTGTTTTAGAATTTGATCTGATGCCAGCCACGCATCAGTCCTGGACCCTTCCTGAGGGGTTGCCCTGCCGTTTTACCTCTTCAGTTGCAGGGGGCGGGGTCTCCCCAGTCTCTCCTACACACAACCAGCCAAACACAAACTAACTCATTCTCAAACCCATGGTGGCTGAACATCTCCAGAAGCTCTCTAGTGGGAAAAGGTTGCAAATGCTTTTTTGTTCTTTTTTTCTTTTTACCTTGAGCACTGCATTGTTTTGGCAGTGCCCTTCCTAAGCTAACTTCCTAACTGGCAAATTGAAAACAAGTTTTTTGGTAGGGCAGTTCTGAGGAGTGTGTGTGTATGTTTTAATTTACAAGCTGTTCTCTATACTTTTAATACATTATGTTAAAGCCCTGAGAAGTAATTTTTAAACCTTTGAAATTCATCCTTTTCCCTCTTGGCTAGTATTTTAAACTCCTAATACAAATAAATTCCTAATATTAATCCTAAGAAACTTTAAAAAGAATATTCCAGTAAGAGTACCATCTGTCTGAAGTCTGACCTCTGGCTTGTTCACATGGACTGTCACGGTCACTGGACCTAATTTAACCAGGCAACAGGTTTGTTTTCTCATAACCATTCATGCTCATAGTAAACAGGGGTACAGAACCTGCTACATGCTGGGGTCATAGAGCTTCTCTAACATTGGCCACTATTAGGAGAAAGTTTCTTCTGTAATATACTACATATATATTTTATACCCAGTTCTTCTAAAAAGCTCCACTTTATTTTCCTTTTTTAAAAAAAAATTAAGAAAAGTCAAAAAAAAAAAAAGAAAGAAAAGTCAACAAATTAATGGAGGTTAGATAGAGTGATGCCTGAGTACTCATTTCTAGGTGTCTTGTATTTTTAAGAAATAGATTTCCCCCACCCCCAGAAATTATACCTTAGTCTCTCCTATTTGTTTGCAGATGGAGTGAATAAAAGCTCCTATTTTGGAAAAATTGTGGTAGAAACGTTACAAATTTAGTCAGCTCGGAGCTCTGTAAAAATAATCCAAAGAATTCCTTCAAGTCATGAACACTTTCACTTCAAAAGAGCATGCAAATATTTTCTCTTGCAAAGCTGAGGAAACAAGATTTGTGGGCGCATCACAGTGGAAAAGTACTTCTTACAGCATTCCCACAATACTAGGGGAAATGCACGTGTGGGTGATCTACAAGGGACAATTCTCCAGAGAAAGCAATTACCCTCTGACATGCTGGTTTTTATTACTTTCCTTTATAAACACAGCACTGACCCCTTCAAAGGAACAGCAGCTCAGGCTGGCAGAATGCAAAGAAACCTCTGCCAGAGATTCCAAACTGGAGTTTGAGCCCTGCTTGTATATGGAGGGTCAAACCAAGGGACTCATTCTAACAGACTGTTTTTGAAGAGAAAACTGGTTTAGTCAGTGAATCCTTAGGATGAGCTTCCAGTGTGTATTTTCCCCCATGGTTTCACATGGGGAGGGAACATTTTGTGATTTCCGTTTTATAATTTGTCCACTTTTCCTAAGTACCAATTTTCATTTCGGAGGGTAGTGTATCAGATGATCGAAAGCCATTGGTGTCATGATCATCACAGAAAAATAACTCAGGAAAAATCTGAAACTATGGTCAAACAGCCCCGTATGTGTAAATGACAACATTGTTCCTCATTTCCACATTCTTGAACATTTATATCAGCAGATTGAATCTGTTGAGTTCGGTCTTTGACAGTAATGCCGCCAACAAAAGACAATAGTTACACATACCTAGCGTGCTGTCTACCTACAGCAAACTTCAGTTTGGAACTTGATTTTAAGAAGCATGATTTGATTTTACGTATCATTGCATTTTCTGCCTCTAACTCGGGTTTTACGCTTTATCTTTTTGTCTGTTTTTCTTTTTAATTTGGGGGCCTCACATTATCAGTGCTTTCTCCTTAAGATACAGACGTTCAAGAGCACTTTGCTTGCTTAACACAGACCAGAGGGGTGTGAGAACCATTAGTGTTTGTCATCTGAAATGACACGTAAAAAAATCAGATTTAAGAAAACAAACGATAAAGTAACAGTGCAAGAGTCAGAACTAGGGGTATAAGAAGTAGGCATCAAAAAGCGGGATTTTTTTAATTTTTTATATTTTTGGGGGGACGGATTGCATTTTCTGCTACAGACGCTTGTCTCTTTGCTCCTCCTGCTCGCTGGCGTCCTGGAGGGCATTGCACGGAGCTGCCTTTCCAGGGCGGCAGGCGAGGCTCACGCCCCCTCCTCTCCTGGCAGGTGGACACCACTCTGTCTCAGTTTGCCGACCCGAACGTTTACCTGTGGGACGTCCATCACAGCCAGAGGCTGGTTAAGGTGGACGGGCTGCTGGCCAAGAAGAGGAAGCCCTACTGCGTGGACTTCGCCGCCATCCGGCCCCAGGTGGCCTTACTGCAGGAGATGCACGTCTCGCATTTTCACTTCTCGCTGGACTGGGCCCTGATCCTGCCGCTGGGCAACCAGTCCCGGGTGAACCACGCGGCCCTGCACTACTACGGCTGCGTGGCCAGCGAGCTCCTGCGCGCCAACATCACCCCGGTGGTGGCGCTCTGGCGCCCCGCCGCGCACCAGGGCCTGCACCAGGGCCTGCCGGGGCCGCTGGCCCAGCGCGGCGCCTGGGAGAACCCGCGCACCGCCCTGGCGTTCGCCGAGTACGCGCGCCTGTGCTTCCGGGACCTGGGCCGCCACGTCAAGGTGTGGATCACGCTGGGCGAGCCGCCCACGCGGAACCTGACCCTCCGCGCCGGGCACAACCTGCTGCGGGCGCACGCGCTGGCCTGGCGCGTGTACGACGAGCAGTTCCGGGGCTCGCAGAAGGGGAAGGTGTCCATAGCCCTGCAGGCCGACTGGGTGGAGCCCGCCTGCCCTTCCTCGCAGAAGGACCAAGAGGGGGCCGAGAGGGTTCTGGAGTTTGACGTCGGCTGGCTGGCCGAGCCCATCTTCGGCTCCGGGGACTACCCGCGGCTGATGCGGGACTGGCTCAACCGGAGAGACCACTTCCTTCTGCCGTATTTCACCGACGAAGAGAAAAGGCTGATCCGGGGTTCCTTTGACTTCCTGGCCTTGAGCCATTACACCACCATCCTCGTGGACTGGGAAAAGGAAGACCCAGTCAAATACAATGATTACCTGGAAGTGCAGGAGATGACCGACATCACCTGGCTCAACTCTCCCAGCCAGGTGGCCGTAGTGCCCTGGGGCCTGCGCAAGGTGCTCAACTGGCTGAAGTTCAAGTACGGAGACCTCCCCATGTATGTCATATCCAACGGCATCGATGACGACCCGCGGGCAGCCCAAGACACGCTGAGGGTGTATTACATGCAGAACTATGTAAATGAAGCTCTGAAAGGTACGGGGGGGGGGGGGGCGACAACAGCAGTCCCTAGAAGCCTGTGTCCCCGAGGGCGTGGGAGCCAAGGGGCGCTCGCCCAGACACACCCCTGGCACTCTCACAGCAAGGTGCTGTCCGCGCCTTCCACACTGAGCAAGTCCAAGAGACAGCTCGAATCTTCCCCCAGGGATGATGCAGTCTGGCTCGCGGCGGAAAACCCTAGCGAAAGAGCGGAACATCCTTAGCACCTCCTCTGAAGCTGCAAACCCGTGGCCTCTCTTGTCCCCTATCTCGGGTGGGTTCACAGCTCTCTTGCCTCCTGCAGGTGCCTAGAGATGTAAGCCAAGCCCATCATAGGAGGTTTAATTACGGAAAACCTACCATGTTAAACGTAGCTCAATATCGGTCCTTGCATGAAAGAAGCCCTTTATGGTCAAACCTAACTTAGTTATTAAATGGTATTGAAAAAAGAATTTTTAAATAAAAATAAACAGTAATGGAATTTTCCCCGATGCACTCACTAATGCGGCTTAAGAGTGAAGTGTTGCGTACGAACATTTTTAATGACTGTTCTGTCCTTTTGTTTTTCCAGCCTACATGTTGGATGGTATCAATCTTTGTGGATACTTTGCCTACTCATTTAATGATCGCACAGCTCCGAAGTTTGGCCTCTATCATTATGCTGCAAACCAGTATAAGCCCAAACCGTCCGTGAAGCATTACAGGAAAATTATTGACAACAACGGCTTCCCAGGTCCTGAAACTTTGGGGCGGTTTTGTCCAGAGGAGTTCACCCTGTGCACCGAATGCAGCTTTTTTCACACCCGAAAGTCTTTACTGGCTTTCATAGCTTTCCTACTTTTTGCTTTTATTATTTCTCTTTCTCTGATTTTCTACTACTCTAAGAAAGGCAGAAGAAGTTATAAATAGTCCTGAACATTTTCCTATTCATCTATTTTGAAATAATTATGCACATACATCAGCTGTTAACCATTTGCGCTTCTCAGTGTTGTGAAACTATAGGTTTCGTTATTCCGGCTTCTAGAAAAAAAATTTTGTGGCATATGACAGACGTTTGTAAATGAGCATAGCTGATTGTAAAATACTGGATAATGTGAATAGTGCCTGGATTTGTTCTTTTTTTGACGGGTAACCAAAGACTGTCAGGGGCCATCATTTCTGTAACACACGCTGTAACAAATGTATGGGAAGTGGGGGTCATGCTGCAACATTTTTACAGAAATTGAATGGTGCCCATTCAATCAGTGCCCATTCTTAAATGTAATGTTTATCTCGAAGTAATAATTGCAGATGTTGGAATAAAAAGTTAAAAGGTCCCAAGCAACCATCTCTAAACGGCCATGATATGTGTAAGGGTTTGCTGTTGAACCAAGTTTCCCTTGAAAAACAAAGGGGTAGAATATAGGAGAAGTGACAAGGGGCCAAGGGGGCAGCAACGTTCCTTTTAAAAGCAGTGTTTCTAGCAAATGCTGCTAATATTAGTTTCCGTGTCTGGTTAATGATATGTTTAGCAGAGCAGATTATAGAACTTCATCGTTTGTGACTTTCGAGGTCTCCAGGCCCCGGGGGTCCTTGAGGACTTTGTGTTACTGGGGCCTTACCAAGGGCCTGCGCAAAAAGGACTCTTAATGTTTGTAGAAAAATAAGTATGAATCGTGAGATGTTGGCCTCTTCAGGAAGCATGAACTAATCTTGAAATGCATTGTACTGCATGGCTCTAGGGGGAGGAAAGGAGGAAAAAGTACTTTTTATGAGCAACGGTATGATTAATTTGATTATAAACTCTTTGATTTTAGAGCACTCCATGCAATGAATGATGTGACCTTTCCTGAGCAAGTGAGAAGGAAATAATAACTCATCCGCTGACGAGTGACTTCGCTTGCTGTTCTTCAGAATGTGTCATGATTTCTTTGAATTGAGGTTTTTAAAATTCTTAGTAGGCTCCAAAGCATTTGGTCTGATAACACTGGGAGATTTGTTCCTATGATTGCTGAGGTTTATTTTACATTGTTGCTGCAACTTCTGTGGAACTAGCTTTGAACTAGTTTTGCTTTGAACTTTCACACTGAAACAGGCTACTGATTTCTAGAAAGGGCTAATGAGGTCTTATCCTTGAAAGCCCCTTAAGTTTTGATGATTTTCAGACGGGTCTTTCTGTTACACTGGAGTTGTGGATGATCATATTATTTCTTTTCTAGATAAGCCAATATCATATCAGGCAAGGTAAACCACTATCATATCTAGCATAGCTAATCTTGCTGACACGGGGTGATAGTGTGCAAAAAAGAATGCTCTGCTGTATTATGTATCATCTTCAGAGGTGGTAGGATTTTTTTTTCCATGAAAGATAAGCTTTTGTTGGTAGTCTTTTAAAAATTGGACTTTGTATTAAAATTAGAAACTAGATATAATAGTTTCTTTTATGTATATATATTTTTTCCGATTCTAAGAGTAATTTATGTTCATTGTAAAAAAATTGAAAAACACAGAAACTATATGTAAAGAGAAAAAATGACCTATAAGCTCACTACCAAAGTGACCACTATTAACATAGCCGATGTATTTTATTTTGCGTGGAGTCAGATCATATTGCAAATAATCATGTGTCTTTATTAATTTCTATTGTGTGTGTTTCTTTTGTCATTAGTCTTCAAAAGCATGATTTCTAATAGTTGTAGAGTGATTCTGCTTTATGAATTTGTCACAACTCATGTAAGCATTCCTGTTGGTTGGACCAGTTTAATTACTGTTAAATAATGTTTAAAAATTTTCTTGCTACAACATTAATTTTCATTTCCTTGAGTGTAGACAGAAGTAATTCTGTCCCTTGATGAAGTATTGTAATAAATCTGCCTGCAGCTTTGCTTCTTTCCTAATTATATAACTGGCTACTACATTTCTTAAAAAACAAAATAGAACTTTTTTTGAGTTGACTGAACTACATAGAACATGGGTGGTGAAGAAATGGGTCTGACAGCAAGGCGGAAAGATGGGCGGTGATGCAGGGTGCCCCAGGCTCATCCTTGTGGTGGAGCTGAGACTTTTAGACGCCCGGAGAGCAAAACAGAGGAAGACGGGAAAGAGACAAAAACAGAGATGCCAAAGAGCTGCAAGAGAAATGGCATCTCGAAGCCATCCAACTCAGGTACTGTGAAAGCAGCATGCTAACGTCGAGTCCCCCCCACCCCCACCGTGGACCTTGGCAGGAGGTCGGTGGCTCCCACTGGCAGGAAAGGAGCCAGGTCACCCCTTGGGTCTGTCTAGACCGCAGGAGCCTGGAGGGATGGGGAGTAAGTGGGAGGCGGGGCCAGGAGGCGGGGCTCCAGGAGGGGGGGGTCAGAGCACCGCCCTCCCTATACTTAAGTCTTTATAATATTTTACTGACGAATCCTGGGTATTTCACCACTTTACATATATTTTTGAAATATAGAGACTGTTCCCCTGGAACTTCTACACATCTTAGTAGGTTGTGGGACCAACCGTACAGAGGCATTAGGTGGTAAACTGTAGTTTCCTGAGGCCTCTTGGCTAATTGCTGCCACACTTGTATTTGCTCTGCTTTCACAGTTCTTGCCTTGGACTCCCGTGTACCCCCTGCACTTATGCCTAGTTCTTGTTGCTTGAGTTTACAAGGATGGTTTTTCAGATTCATTAAGGACATTTTTCACTTTACTTTCGGTCTTCCACAGATAATAATCAGAATCCATTAATGCCTTGGAAGCTTTTCCTTTATACGATTTATAACAATGCTATCCAACAGAGAGGTAGTACAAGCTGCATATTTTAAATTTTCTAGTAGTCTCATTTAAAAAAATTAAAAAGTATGGAAGAAATAAATCTTAGTGCTATATATTATTTTTCCAATATAATCAAAATGTCATAACTTCAACATGTAATAAACATAAAAATGATTAAGATTTTTATATACTCTTAAAAATACTAAGTATTAGAAATCTGGTGTGTGTTTTGAACGTATGGCACATCTTGCACTCAATTTGGACTAGCCAGACTAAGTGCTCAATAGCCACAAGGGGCTTAATGGGTGCTCCACTGGGCAGTGCAGGTCTATAAAGAAAGCCTTGCTTTGCTAAGTCAATTAGTAGCATAATAAGATACTTAATAAGTTAGGAGAATAAACTTTTTAAAAGGACCTTCCAAGCTTTATAGTCCATAGAGATAATTGACAAGTAAATTTACAATTAAGCTAAACTATTGATTAAAATAAAACATCTATGTGGAAACACAAAAATAAATTCAAAGTGGATGAAAGACCTAAATGTGAGACAGAAACCCATCAAAATCCTAGAGGAAAACACAGGCAGCAACTTCTTGGACACTGGACATAGCAACTTCTTGCTAGATATGTCTTCCAGAGGTGAGGGAAACAGAAGCAAAAATGAACTATTGGGACTTCATCAGGATAAAAAGCTTTTGCACAGCAGAGGAAACAACAAAACTAAAAGGCAACCTGTGGAATGGGAGAAGATATTTGCAAATGATGTATTGGATAAAGGGCTAGTATCCAAAATCCATAAAGAACTCATCAACACCCAAAATCCAAAAAATCCAGTCAAGAAATGGGCAGATGACATGAAAAGACATTTCTCCAAAGAAGACATATGAAAGGCTAACAGACAAGTGAAAAAATGCTCAACATCATTCAGCATCAGGAAAATACAAATCAAAACCACAGTTAGATACCACCTCACACCAGTCAGAATGACTATAATTAACAATGCATGAAACAACAGATATTGGTGAGGATGCAGAGAAAGGGGAACCCTCTTAAATTGTTGGCGGGAATGCAAACGGGTGCAGCCACTCTGGAAAACAGTATGGAGGTTTCTCAGAAAGTTAAAAATAGAATTTCCCCTATGATCCAGCAATTGTACTAGTAGGTATTTATCCAAAGGACACAAAAATAGTGATTTGAAGGGACACATGCATTCCAATGTTTATAGCAGCGCTGTCCACAATTGTCAAAATACGGAAAGAGCTCAGATGTCCATTAATGGATCAATGGATAAAGAAGGTGTGGTATATAAACAATGGAATATTGCTCAGCCATCAAAAAGAATGAAATCTTGCCATTTGCAATGACGTGGATGGAAGTAGAGTATATTATGCTAAGGAAAATAAGTCAGCCAGAGAAAGTCAAATACCATATGATTTTACTCATATGTGGAATTTAAGAAACAAAACAGAGAAAATAGGAGAAGGGAAGGAAAAATAAGATAAAAACAGAGAAAGAGGCAAACCATAAGAAACTCGACTCTAGGGAACAAATGGAGGGTTGCTGGAGGGTAAGTGGGTAGGGGGTTGGGGTAACTAGGTGATGGACCTTAAGGCGGGCACGTGATGTAATGATCACTGGATTTCATATGCAACTGATGGATCACTAAGCTTTGCCCTGAAACTAATAATACACTATATGTTAGTTAACTTGAATTTAAATAAAAAAAAAAAACCCACATCTATGTGGAAGGGACAATTCTGTAACTAGTTCGAATATTTAATTCTGGTGGTAGAATTGAATTGCTTCTCTTTTTACATACTTTATTCTATTTTTTTTCTCTCATTCAAATTACCTTTTCCTAAATGAATAGAGCAAATATATTGTCCTATAGCATCTCCATTTAATATTTAATATTGCAGGACGCCTGGGTAGCTCAGCGGTTGAGCATCTGCCTTTGGCTCAGGGTATGATTCCGGGTCCGGGAATCGAGTCCCACATCGGGGTCCTGCAGGGAGCCTGCTTTTCCCTTTGCCTATGTCTCTGCCTGTCTCTCTCTCTGTGTCTTTTGTGAATAAATAAATAAAATCTTTAAGAAATATATTTAATATTGAACAGTGCTGATAAAAATTTCCATCTGGGAAGGAGAATGTTAATTTAAATGACATGGACCAATCCTGACAGAAAGCCTGGGTTCTAGAAGGAAGGGAGAGGCCATGTCTTTTTGTTTTGTTTTGATTTTCATTATTTAGCCCGATGTCCTATGCAAAATATTCTCCAATAAATGTTGATTCGTTGAATAAATTATGGATGAAAGATGGAATACACGAATTAACAGAATTAGCTCCCTGACAGCACCTTTGTCCCGAGATTCATTTAATAAAGACTGTCAAGAATCAGAAACTGCCCTGTGTTAGATGCTCAATTCCGTGTATTCAGAAGAAGGAACTCGAGCTTCCATGTGGTCACCTTTGATAACTTGTCTTTCTGGGTAACAAGACAATAACACTGCTGTCCTAAATCATCACCCCTAGACCAATCACAGAGTGAGAAAATTGTAACTTGTTTTCTTTACTATTCACACTGTCCCTCAACCCATCAGTATTCTTTTATTTGAACGAATTGTTATACATAGAGTTAAAATTTCTTTTCTGCAAATAAAAACAAGACAACTCATCTTCTAGAAGGAGTTCTTTTAGGTCATCTTGAAATACTTAGTTTCCAAGAACATGTAGCTTTTTCTTCAGATCCATTATGTTTTTCCATTTTTACAGCCACTAAGTATTATTAGAGTTTTGTTTGTTGCGGTGCAATTCCTGAGACATTTTTTGTTTCATACCTTCGTGGTGAGTACCCATTGTTTGGTATTGAGGAAAAAGGGTCAAGAAAAGCTTCAAGGAACCTTCAGTAAAGGGTGGAAATGCCATAATGTCAGTGATAGGACATCTAAATAAAGTGAAGTCTGTTTTGTGACATAATTGTCACACATCGGAAAAAGCCTTGGTGACTAATTATCATCCTTTGTTTTAACCCAATAGGTTAGAGAAGAGAACAATTTCAATCTACCTATTAATTGATTCAGAAAGACAGAGGGACAAGATATCACTGAGCCTCAATTTCCTTATCTTTGAAACGGGAGTAATGTCTATCAGAGCATAGTGCTGAACATACTAAGTATTAAGTTTCTTTCTGGACTAATTCCAGGTATTCTTGATACATAAATGATTTTTTTTGTTAACCAGATATACAGAGTTCAGTAACATAAAACCAAAGACTGAAACAGTCAATACAATTCATCCAGAAGCTCTTTGATTATTTTGTTTGTGACTTTGAATATGCATCGTCATAGAATACCTTTGGTAAAACCAAACTAAAAAAAATCAGTCACTTAATAATATCAGATTATTTTCTTGGATCCAAATTTTACGAATGTTGAATTGATAGAATCCTGAAGATAATTTGGCAGAAAATGTGTCTATATCAATATGTTGCACCATCTGCTCTTTTGAAACAATCTAATGACACAGACAAAATGCTGAAATTTGTATATTTGTTATTGAATTGGCAAATAATTGAAGACCCATTAACTAAATTTTTATGTGATTCAAAAATCCTTGGTAGAGTTTCTAATTTTGATTGTAATCTTTCCATATGCTTATTTTATGGTAAAAACGAATTAACTTCTAATGAGCTTATTTATTTCTTAAATAAATTATTGGCAATTGAAGCTTTGCTCCTTAATAAATTGCTAGAATAGGGCTGAATGTTTTGTTTCTGTTTAAAATCTCGATTAGTTTGTAAAATTTGGTGTTCTTTCAATATTGTCGCGGTGACTGTCTAATTATGGCCTTAAGCATAAATGCTGCCTAAGACTTTGCAGCCAGTTTTGATCATGTGAATCAAAGCTTTGGCTAATTTAGTTCCAGGTTATCAGACGGCAAGTACTACAGTGTTTCAAGGCCATGCTGTTGCATTTACGACATGAAGATTTCATAACTATTTTTTTCACCTTAAATTATGGGTATTACAAGTCTCCAGTAAGTAGCCCAAAGGCTTCAAAGTATAACATTTCAATCCACAGGGGCAGGAGTGGTAAGCCACAGAGCAGCAAAAACAGATATTAGAAAAAGATTGATGGGTCAGGTGAAAATATTCCATTAGTAAAAGATGACAGATGAAAAATGAACATGATTTTATTCCAAATTGGTACTGTTCTAAAACATCCTTATTCTATCTATGCTTGTTATGGACCTAATAACCCACCAAAACAAACACAGTGGGGGTTACTTGTCCATCAGACTGACAATACAGGAGCTGCAAGATCCCAGCAGTGTTCACCTAGAGAGGAAGGAAGGAAGGAAGGAAGGAAGGAAGGAAGGAAGGAAGGAAGGAGGAGGAGGGAGGGAGGGAGGGAGGGAGGGAGGGAAGGAAGGAAGGAAGGAAGGAAGGAAGAAGGAAGGAAGGAAGGAAGGAAGGGAGGGAGACAAGGGAAGCCAGAAAGCACCGGAAGGGCTTGCAGGATT